TTCTTCTTCTTCTTCTTCTTCTTCTTCTTCTTCTTCTTCTTCTTCTTCTTCTTAGGTTTCTTCATAGGTGCTTAACATTATATTTTTCATAATTCTAAGAAAATAATGAGCATGGCCAAAACCGTGATGACGTTATGGAAGTCGACCAATCATGTCATGAAGATGGATACCTCTGTCCAATAGACAATAATGCACCACGTGAAAAACGATATGAGCCAAAGGAACTGTACATTAAAGGTGAATAAAACCAGTACTCCTTTTTCTACACTGTCATCAATTCTCCTCTTCTTCTTTTGCTCCTCCTCCTCCTCCTCCTCCTCCTCCTTCTTCTGCCTGAGCACATATTTCCTAATAATTTCATTGACAAGTTGTTTACGAAAATTTCTTTCAACCAATTAATAGAAATGGATGGCAATGCTGAGCGAGTGTATATCGAACAACCTGGTTCCTCAATGGCTGAGCCGTACGAAATCACTAACTTATACAGACTTCACGACTCACTAAGTGAAATAAAACCAAGTGCGGTAAAGTTGACCTGCGCCTTGCAGAGTCCATTGTCTGGTGGACCTTCTGAGTGTAATAGGCACAAACCAAACATTATCAAGCCTGATCAAAACAACGCAGAGCACTTCAATTTAAGAAATAACCATAGATCCAAAGTGGAATCTATTTATCGCGTCCTTGAAGACCCTAGGGCGTTTGGTATCTCTGATGAGGTCGGACAACTCATTATAGAAAACGTTCCCCAAGACCAGAGTTACCAGGAACTTACTTTTGATGGTCAGCGGTTCAATGTCTACCAGTCGCTTTGCATTGCAAATCAAAAGGGACATCGATTATAGGATATGTGTCTTTCCTTCCTTCAATCTAAAAATTACTTGTGTTCAGACCTTGGAAATTTGGTTGACAGAAGGCCCAAACGTCTCGAAATTATGAAAATGGTATAATTTGTCCAAAATCAAATTCTATATAAATAGTGAATGAATAGTGAATAAACAAAACGATCGTCAAGGGATTTATAAGCTCGTGATCCCCTTCGATGCTAAAAAACCATAAAGAAATCTCTTGAATTATAAACACCTTCTTAAAAATGCATGAATTAAACAATGTTTTGATTTTTTAACCTATGGGCCTATAAGTAAAATTTGTGGTCATCTTTTGGTCACAGCATAATACTTTTCTACAATTCTTCGTTTGCACGTTACGTCATCACAGCCATGTTGTTACCATTTAACAAAAGATTTCCCATTAGCATCCATTGTTAACGGTAACACACTGGCCGCCATGTTYTTGGGAATGCTTGYAACCCATCAATACATTCTGGCATATTTTTTGCTGTTAAAATGCTTTAAAATGTTTTAATTAATAGATATACATTGCTTATTGGTTGTAAAAATATACGACGTTTATTTTTTAACACGAGTAATTTCTACTTGACCTTTTTGTCTTTGAGACTAGTAATGGATTAAAGTATCGAATAAAACGGGT